AGGGACGAATCGAGTCAAGCAGGCTCAATTGCAAACCCTACGCAAGGAATATGAAATTCTGCATATGAAGGAAGGAGAAACAATAACGACCCTCTTCTCTCGAATTCTTACAATCGTCAATAAGATGAAAGCCTGTGGTGAAAACAAAGATGACAGCGATGTTGTGAGTAAGATTTTGAGGTCGCTGACTCCAAAGTTCAACTATGTCGTATGTTCTATTGAGGAGTCAAACAACACAAATGCACTGACCATTGATGAACTTCAAAGCAAGTTGCTTCTACATGAACAGCGTATGTGTCCTTCTATTGAAGAAGAGCATGCTCTGGCTGTTACTTTTGGAGGTCGGGGACGTGGTCGTGGAGCTCGAGGTAGAGGTCGTGGTAGACAAAGTCGTGATCGATCAACCGTAGAATGCTACAAATGCCACAAGCTGGGACATTTCCAATGGGAATGTTTATCCAAGGAGAATGAGGCTCATTATGCTGAAAGTCAAGAAGAATTGCTACTCATGGCGCAGGTTGATATTACAACACACTCTTATGAAAATCAATGGTTCCTTGATTCAGGATGCAGCAATCACATGTGTGGTATGAAATCATCTTTCTCTGATCTTGATGAAAATTATCGTGACTCGGTTAAATTGGGGAACAATACTTCTATGGCTGTACTGGGCATGGGCAATATAAGGTTGCAAGTAAATGGTAGGGTGCATATCATTACTGGAGTTTTCTTTGTGCCTGAATTGAAGAACAACTTACTAAGCATTGGACAACTGCAAGCCAAAAACCTAACTATCATGTTTGAAGGTGGAAAATGCAAAGTATTTCATCCTGAAATAGGTCTCCTCATGGAAACAAAGATGGCTGCCAATCGAATGTTTATTCTAAATGCCGTGGCTCAACCTAAGTCTTCTACATGTTTTAACACTGTTGCTGAGGATGAATGGTATCTTTGGCATTGTCGGTACGGACATTTAGGTTTCAAGGGACTCCAAACTCTTGTTCAGAAAAAGATGGTGACTGCACTGCCCCACTTGAAGTATTCAACAAAGACATGCAAAGATTGTTTGGTTGGGAAGCAACATAGAGAGTCTTTCCCATCACATAGTACATGGAGAGCAGATCACATTCTACAATTGATTCACGCTGACATTTGTGGGCCAATTAAACCAGAATCCAACAGTGGAAAAAGGTATTTTCTCACTTTAACCGATGATTTCAGCCGCAAAACATGGGTTTATTTTTTGACTGCAAAATCAGAAGCTCTAGGTGTTTTCAAAAGTTTCCAGATTCACATTGAGAAACAAACTAGTCATGCTGTCAAAGGCCTACGCACAGATCGAGGAGGAGAGTTTACTTCTCACGAATTCATGCAACATTGTGCAGAGCATGGTATCCAACACCAATTGACAGCCGCATATTCTCCACAACAGAACGGCATTGCTGAAAGAAAGAATCGAACTATAATGAATCTTACTCGAAGCATGCTGTCCAACAAACAAATTCCTCGCACTTTTTGGCCGGAAGCTGTCAATTGGACTGTGCACATCTTAAATCGCAGTCCTACTCTTGCTGTAAGAAATAAAACCCCGGAAGAAGCCTGGAGTGGCATCAAACCTTCAGTTGAGTATTTTCGGGTTTTTGGTTGCATTGGCCATGTTCATGTTCCTGATGCTAAGCGAACCAAACTCGATAACAAGAGTTTTCCTTGTGTTTTACTTGGCGTCAGTGATGTATCCAAAGCATACCGACTATATGATCCAGTTTCCAAACGAATCATCATTAGTAGGGATGTCGTCTTTGAAGAAGATAAGGCTTGGAATTGGCACACCAATTCTGAATCTTCCACGGCGTATGAGTTAGAGTGGGAAGAAGAGAAAGATGTTGACAGCAGCAGTTCTGAAATACCTGAGGCTGAAAATGCTGATCAAGTCGCTGACCATGATGAGCCTGAGCATCATACATCAGCCCCAGTTGATGCATCAACACGTTATCCAGTACGAGACCGCCGACAACCATATTGGATGAATGATTATGTTACTGGTGAAGATCTTTCCAATGAAGAACTTGTTGATTCTTTCTCTAACTTAGCCTTGTTTACGTGTGATGGTGATCCTACTTCTTTTGAGGAGGCTGTTAAAAGTGTCAAATGGCAGCAGGCAATGGATACTGAAATGGAATCCATAAAAAGGAATAATACGTGGGAATTGGTAGATTTGCCTAGTGGTGGAAAGATTGTTGGTCTCAAGTGGATTTACAAGACCAAGTACAATGAAGTTGGTCAGATTGACAAATACAAGGCCCGATTAGTAGCAAAAGGGTATACACAGCAACACGGCATCGACTATAATGAAGTGTTCGCTCCTGTAGCACGAATGGAAACCATTCGTCTAATTCTAGCATCTGCAGCACATTACAGTTGGCCTCTCTACCAACTTGATGTCAAGTCAGCATTTTTGTATGGCGAACTAGCAGAAGAGGTGTTTGTGGAACAACCGTGTGGATATGTCAAGAAGGGGAATGAAGACAAGGTATACCGACTAAAGAAAGCTCTTTATGGCCTGAAGCAGGCCCCGCGAGCATGGTATAGTCGGATAGAGACACATTTTCTGAAGATGGGATTTAAAAAGTGTGATTATGAACACACTCTATTCATCAAAACAGACCAGGGAGGCAAGATCTTAATTGTGAGTATGTATGTTGATGATCTCATCTATACCGGTAATGATCCTTTAATGTTCACTTCTTTTATGAGTTCTATGAAGCAAGAATTTGATATGACAGATCTCGGTAAGATGCGATATTTCCTTGGTATTGAAATTCTGCAATTGCACAACAGTATTTTTATATCTCAAAAGAAATATGCTTTGGAGGTATTAAAACGCTTTGGCATGAATGACTCGAATTCTGTGCAAAATCCTATAGTACCAGGAATGAAGACCACAAAAGAAATTGGCAGTGATGAGAGGGTGAACAAGTCACATTATAAGCAACTTATTGGATGCCTCATGTATCTAACAACTGCTACACGGCCTGATTTGTCATACGTTGTCAGTCTCCTTAGCCGTTACATGGAGAATCCTTCGGTGAAACATATGTTGGTAGCAAAACGGGTATTACGCTATTTAAAGGGAACTGCTGATTTTGGAATTCTTTACAAAAAGGGTGGAGTAAATGAACTTGTGGCATACACAGACAGTGATTATGCAGGTGACGTAGATGATCGGAAAAGCACTTCCGGCTATGTTTTCATGCTTAGCTCTGGAGCAGTTTCATGGTGCTCAAAGAAACAACCTGTGGTTAGCTTATCCACCACAGAAGCTGAATTTATAGCTGCTGCTTCTTGTGCTTGTCAAGCAGTGTGGTTACAAAGGATACTATCAAATTTAAATCAGATTTCTGAGAGTAAAGGCATATCGGTTAACTGCGACAACAGTTCTACTATTAAGCTGTCTAAAAACCCAGTTTTGCATGGCCGCAGTAAACATATTGATGTCAGATTTCATTTTCTTCGCGAGATGTCCAAAGAAGGAATTGTAAGTTTGATTTATTGTGCTAGTCAAGAACAATTAGCAGATCTTATGACCAAACCATTGAAGCTGGGAGTATTCTTGAAGTTGCGAAAGTCTCTTGGTGTTTGCTCTGAAATTGAAGTAAACTGCAAACCAGAAGTTAAAATGAGAAGTTGCAGTTTAAGGGAGGATGTTGAGGACAGAAGTTAACACGTATTACTAGTTGTTAGTGGGTTTAGTGGGTGGTTTCTTTGATGTTAATAAAAGACCTATTCAATTGGTCTGTTAGCTTTATTTTCCTTTAAGTTAGCTTTCATTCCATATTTGTAGGAGTAGTGGTTACGTGGTATTTTTCCTCTTCCTGTAACTGATGTAAGGCTATATAATAGCCATTACTTCTCAACAATAAAAGCGATCTTCTTTGCTTCAAACCTTATTCCATATATGTATCTTGTTTCTTAACAACCACATCAGAGTCGTCTAGAGCACCATTTCAAGAATTTGCATTAACACTCTTGATTTTATTATTATTATTATTATTATTATTATTATTATTATTATTATTATTTTTATTATTATTATTTATTTATTTTTTCAATCGCGGTTATTATTATTATTATTATTATTATTTATTTTTTCAATCGCAATTGAAATCTCATCGTAACACACACGTGCGGCATGTCTTTTCTTTATGGATTAAAGCAACTCCAATCCAAACTCAAAACACTATTCTGATTTGGGATTTATTATTCCAATTTCCTCTTTGGATTCCATAAGACACATTTGTGGACGATACTGTTTTCCTTTTCATGGGGGCACAACGAAATTTATTGCTAGTAGATTCGATATCCACTCCACTTGAACCTCTCTTTTCTAGTGTCATATTATTATTAACCAAATTTCAACCACAAAAATTACTACATCTTAATGATGAATCAATCATAGTAGTAATAGTATCATAAAATCCGATTCGGGACCTATCATGTTTCTATTATGTCCTACTATCAACTATTATTAACTTCGTCTCTCTTTTGTATTATTCAAAATGAATATTATTTTAGAGAAAAAAAATTGTTTTAACATGAATATCATTCTCGTTTTTCAATATAATAATTACTATTTTTCAATTATATCTTTTAATTATTAATTTGTGTACTACTTCTATCATATTAATAAAGTTAATTTAATAAAAATACAATGTCTCATAATAACATAATTATATTCTTTAATCTGTGTAAAAACATTTAAACGACACACATTTTAAAATATTTTAAAATAGAAAGAGTATTATTTTTAGGTTAGTGTGATATCCCACCATTAGATTGGAAAATGAGAGAGGAGTGAATAAAAAAAGCAGGAGAGGATCTAGTGTTGCTTTTTATAAGCAAGTTTTTAAAAAAGAGGAATGAAAGAGTTAGTTAATTAATTAACCTTCAAATCTGATTAATATTATTCAAGATTACAGTAGTAATAGAATTATTAGTAACAACTAGAATCCAAAGAAACGCTTACAGACTTTAAGGATCTTGCCTCCTCTCTTGTTTTTCTTCTTCTTGGTTGCATCATCTATGATGACTAACTCATCTGATGCTTCTGTTACCATATTCTGATCATGGATCCTACAGTACCTCTCTGAAACTGATGAAGAAGATTTTCTTATTGAAAATGCTCTCTTCATTGTTGCCTGAAACCCAGATGCAGAACAAGAAGAAGAAGAAGAAACTGAACAGCTCCTGCCTAGTATCACTCCAAATCTCTCTCCTTCATTGATGACCTCGCTATCATTAATTGCTTCAAGAGTAGTGTTGCTAATCTTGATTGGTTTAGGTGTTTGAGAAAAATCTATAGATCTTGATTTCTGGCTAGTACTGGTAGTAGTGGTACCAATCTTTGAATAACCATTCATTTTGTGATGTATCTATATGGTCTAGTGGGAGTAAAGGGTAAAGTGTGAACCTACATAGCTCTATATAATCATAACATTTTTTTGACATAAAGATGACTCACTATCTTGTCGTCTAGTGTCAACATGTCATGTCATTAGAGAGGTAAATATTTTTAAATTTATTAAATAATAAATATATATAATTTTTTATGTAAATCAAATACATTTATTATTTAATAAATCTAAAAACATTCCTTTCACTTATATAGAGTGGATAGTACAGTTTTACATGATGTAACAAAAATTGAAAGGTTGTCGGTTCATGTAAAAATGGTAGAATGGGGTGATGTATCTTGGAACGTGTTGTGATGTGATGTTTTTCACCAAATTTGCATCTAACTAAGGTCGGAACTTAGGATATCAGTAATAAACAAGTGGATCTTAACTTTATGCTCACATCATAAGCAAATCATTAATTGAGGATTTACCACAGCATAATTGTTTATTATCACATGTCTGGTTAGGAATTGAATATGCTTGTTGCCAAATATATTCTTTACTTTTTGGTCATTGTTTTAGGAGTGAGTAGGCTTCTTCATCTCCAAATTTTTATATATCATTATGGTTTTTAAACTTTTTCAAAATAGCAAAATACTCATTCAATTAATTTAGTCTTTTAGTTAAGTTTTGCCATTAGAACAAATACATTGTGTTGGAGAAATCTCAGTTGGATTTGTTAGATAATACCTAAACCAATCAACAGTTAATGGTACCTTAGCTTACATACACCTACCTCACGTTTCGTACCATTTCTACTGCTATTTTTTGAAGCTCCTATTTCTGTAGCTTTTCTTTACTGTGGTTTGTTATCAATCATACAAGTTAATATGAACCACTTTAATTTTATAAGAGATTAAATATAATTCTTTCTTTTTTAGATTTATTTGGTTCATGTAATTTTAGTGAAGGATTAAAATGGATCTCTACTCTTGAGGTAATCATAATTTGATTTATTTATATTTTATTATTTTTTAAAAAATTTATTTTTAAAAATTATGAAATTTAATTATTAAAGTTACAATTTATATTTTCTTCACTACTTTGTAGTCTTTATTATTTGATATTTCATCCGTTTTAAAATGACTATCATTTTAATAAATAAATTTTATTTTAAAATGATTGTCATTTTCACTTTTCAATATAGTGATGATTACTATTTTTCAATTGTGTCATTTACTTTTTACTCTCTACATTATTTTCAATACATTAATAAAGTTAATTTTGTAAGAGTGTAATATCTTATGACAACATCATTGCATTCCTTAATTTGTCTCTCTATCTATCTCTACCTCTCTATTGTAAAAATGATAAGGTTCAATTCACATTAAGAAATTTGACGTGTGATGACAAAGAACAGTAGTTACTAAAATAAATGGTCTTCGACAATAATAATCAATAAGACAATGAATTTAGCAGAAGAGGACAAAATAAGACAAGAAACACATAAGATTTGTTTATCCAATTCGATCAAATGATCTACGTCTTGGGAGAGACCAATTCTCCAATTAACTATACTCCAAAAATTGTTATAAGAGATTACAAATGAGTTACAAGAAAATAGTCTTCCAAGTTTCTAAGAACAAACCCTATTTTTTACCCAATTGTTTCTCAACCTCTCCGACTCTTAATATAAGAATCACACAAATTCAAAGTGTTTAAAGTATTTTTCAATCCTCTTAGACAACTCCAAATGTTTCTCCCAAATCCTTGTCTTTCTAGTTTTTTTTTTGGGGATTTTCTAAACCCTTATTTCTCCCATTTTCTCTAGAACTATAAAATTATCACACTGCAATAATAGAAGAGATACATATTTATAGTTGCTAAAATCCAACAAATCCATAACAAATCCTAAATATAATAATTAATTATTATAATAAAATATTATAAGTATCTTATAATATCTTTTATAATAATATAAAATATATATTCAAAATTCTAACATTAAATAAACATATCCGCAAACCAAACCGATCAACCTAATATTTGCGAACCGTTTGAATCTGACATTCTTGTTGCTTTTTGGCTTCTTGGTTTTTGATAATCTTGAAACATATTTTCTTTCTCTTCATCACTCAAATGTTTTAAGGCATATTACAATAATCTCCACCTTGATCTGAAATTGATGGTGATGTTAATTTAACAATATTCTATCATCAATTTTTGGATTAGCATACAACAATAAGAGAGCATAACAAAATCATAAGCCCCAACATAATCATAGAGAGAGTAAGAGTCTCTATTCTACCCTTTCATGCAAAACACTCAATATCTAAGCACTTTCTCCCCATTTACCTCAAATTCCTAGCAACAAATTTTAAAATTGATTAAGGTTGGTGGTTTGTGCTCTCCCCACTTCAAGTCTTAGCCTATTTTCTTCAATTCTCCAAATTATACGTACTAATAGTTTTTGTCTCTCCTCTCACTAGTTATTTATTTAACCTAATTAAACATTTTTTCTAATCACACTATGGTCCAACTCCTCTTATAATTCTCACCCCCTCTTATTTCTCATAATTTCTATTTTCCACCCAAAACCTCTATTTCAATTTACTTTCTTGTTTATTTCAATTAATTAAAAAAATAATTATTAATTCTAATTATTTTTAATTGTTCTAATAATTTTACTAGCCAATCAATTCTCTCACTACACCCCACCATACACCACATACACATATAAAATCTTAATCTGTTTAATTAAAAGCATACCACATACTAAATAATCGAATAAAAATATAAATAATTTGATTAAATAAATTAATCAATTTCGAGGTGTTATATTCAACACCACCATTACTTCTCCATCATGACATTCCCTTGCTCAGCTATCAGCTCCACATGCGACTTCACCACATCGACGTTCACTACTCCCTCCTTGTTCTACTTAACAAAACAAAGCTTGTAAAGGATCGTCAGAGCGTCTTGCTTCCATTTGTTTGACCGATAATTGAATTAACCAAAAATCTAAGGTCCTAAAGAATAATAAATAAAATTTACACACAACACCAGTATATAAAAAAATAAATAAAAGTGAAGAAATTCAATGGATTGAGAGGAGAACAAAAAAATATTCCTTCAAAATGAATTTTGAAGCTATGCATATGACTTTAGAGTTTCAAATATGAATGAAATGGAGGGTTTTGAAGCCAGAAATGTGAATTCAGAGTTTTAGATATGAATGAAAAAAGAGGATTTTGAAGCCATGGATATGACTTTGAAGCCATGACGGCTAGGGTTTTGGGGAAGGGAAGAGAGAAAGAGAGGAATGCATATGTTTTACTCTCTCAAGATAATCACCGCGTGGAAAAATAAGTAATGCCATAAGAATAAAGCCACATAGATAATAGTTAAAAAAAAAGCCACATAAATGAAATAAATCCAACTAGATTTCCACGTAGGTAAAAGTTAACGTTTTTTCACAATATTTAACGAAAATGACCAATTAGAATAACAAAACAATTTTTAAGGGACTAACATGTACTGTTTTTTAGATAAGGGACTAAAATGAAATATAAATGAAGTTAAGGGACTAAAACATGTATGCATTATGCTTATTTTTTTTTAAAATATCAATAATAACCAAGTAATATAGATAACCATCTATATCGATTAAATTAGGGAAGGTTCCCGTACATCTGTGTACAAAAGTTCAAGTGGATTTTGGCTAGTAATACTAGATATAGAGAATGGTATCTTATAACTCTTGATTAAGTTTCATGAGATGCAAGGTTGTTGATCCTTCAATTTTATTTTCCAAATGAAAGGAAATTTATGCAAAATATGATAAGATGGATGACCTATAAAATGACTCCATGGATGATTGGTAGGGGCGGCGAGAAGTGCGTTTGAGCCGATGGATGGTTGAGGAAAGATGTATAATCTATGTTTATGGTTTAATTTGATTAGAAGGCACATTGTCTTTATAGTGATTAAATATACAATATGTTTTGTGATATTTTTTTGGAACATGTAAATATTTGAAAGATGAAAAGGGTGAGATTTGGTTGAAAGATAGTTTTTACAAGTACTAGCAATATGCAAACCCGTACTGTCACCTACAAGTAACTCATCATCACTACAATAAGGATTCATGACATAAAGGTCATCCAAAACATTAGTTATGTCATGAGTTGCACCGGAGTCCATTATCCAATCATGTGGAGCTAACTGAGATGCAGTAAGAGAATGATGTTCATGGGCCCATTGGATGTTTTGGGTAGTCGCGCAAGTTTTTGAAAACTTTTACTGAATGACTGAGTTTGTCACATTATTGACAAATTATTTTCTAGGGTTGATATAATATGTATAGAAAAATAATTGAGATTTAAGGTCCCTAATGTCACTCATATCTTGAAATTATGATTTAACTTTGAAGGCGACATATTTTATAGCCATGGTTGGAAGTATGATGTTGTTTTCCTATCCATTGAGGTAGTTTTTAAAATTTGATAAAATATCATGAAGATTATCAAAGCTAACCAGTTTTTCACGTATGAGAATAACAATGACTATCTCACATTATTCTGATCCTAGTCCATTCAAGGTGTGAATGACCGTATCGTTATCATCCAACTGTCAGTTGATGATAGCTAATTCTTCATCAAATATTTTGTTTTTCTGAGGGTATTGAGAGATTGGACTCACTCCTTTGGAAACTCTAGCGAGTCTTAAAATTGCTCTATCGATAAAAATGAATTTCATCTATGTATTTTGATGTTTTGTTGCATATTCGATAGTTCCAAAATATCATTTAATTATCATTTAAATTTATCATTTTTATTGTAATTTAATTGTATAATTTAATTTCATTAATTTTCGTAGAAATGTACCTTAGGTTTTCCCTTATATTCATTTAGATTGAATCCACGACAATTTGTATTTAGTTTGAGCAAGTTGGTCAAAGTCAAAATATGTTTGCCTTGAATCACAAGTTAGAAAGCTTAAAACTAGGTGTTTTTGAAACT